TCTTCTCCTCCTCCCACCATCTCGTCCCCCGACAAGCTCACCGAACATCCTCCGACGATGGGCGACTGGACCACTGACTCGAACGACGCTCTCACCATCTCTCTGGTCCGGTCGGAGAAGGACAAACTAACCGCTGAAGACACCAACCTCGTCGAGTTCCATCCCACCTTCACGTACCCGGTGCGTTGCCTATCTCTGCCCAATGACGCGTCGTTTGCTGAAGAAGCGGCTAGATATATGGCACAGACGAAAAGCTGTATGGCTACAAGGACTTGTTGATTGATGTGAGCTCATCCCCTTCGGTTCCTACAACGAGCGTGGCGGGGGCGAGTGGGACAGGTCGTTGGAGGAATGTGCGATTGATTCAGGGCGCGCACTCTGCAACAAACGGTCTGTGTTGGCAGAACCGAATTCACGGCCTGGGCCAGGCTGTCGACTTTCGACGTCGGTCTCTGAGTCTCTGGGCTGGTTCATCACGCGAGATTCTGGGACAAGCATCCCACTCTTCCGGCTACGCCCACTGGTTCGGTGCTGTATATGCATACTATATTCGATGGTTTGGCAGGATGTTGAATGGTCGCTGACTATATCTGCAGCTCAGGCTCGCCTCGGGGTCATTACGAACGTACCTCAACGTTTCATACTCTGCGAAATTGCCTCCGCCCTCGCCTGTCGACGATGCGGAAGCTATGCTGCAGAAGTTTCTACCTGAGGGTGCGTCTCATAGTCTCTGCCCCATGCAGCATGTAACAAAGTGAGTATATGCAGACTTCGAGACCGACCTCGCGAAGTTCAACGAGTATGCCGAGGAAGACTCACTCAACTTCAAGCCCTACGGCAAGAAGATCTACGAGTACACAAAGCGCGCAAGTGGTGATGCTGACGGCGAGGAGCGACAGTACGAAGTGTGGCACGTCCGTATTCTGTATTCGTCGCGTCCGCGACACCCATGATCCTTTGTGACTGACATATTTCTGCAGGCGAAGTTCGATACCCCCGGATTTGCGGCATACCACCGCCGAATGCAGCTCTTCATTCTGCTCTACATCGAAGGTGGAAGTTATGTAGATGAGGATCCCGCGTGGGAGTTTGTCTGCCTGTACGTGCGACCTCCCCTCCACTCCGCCCACTCCATTCACGCCACACATCCAGATACGAAAAGCGCAAACGCGCCACTCCCCCGTCCGACTCATCCGATGCCCCCGAACCCCAACACACCTACCACTTCATGGGCTACAGCTCGCTCTACCCCTTCTACTGCTTCCCCTCGCGCGTGCGGCTGCGCCTCTCGCAGTTCGTGATCCTCCCGCCCTTCCAGCACGCAGGGCACGGCGCCGCGCTCTACACGGCCATCTACACCTACGTCCTCGCGACGCCCGACGTCGCAGAGCTCACCGTCGAGGACCCCGCGGAGGCGTTCGAGGACTTGCGCGACCGCTGCGACCTGCGCATGCTCGTCGCGCACGCGCGCTTCGCGGGCGAGGCGTTCGGCGAGGGCGGCCTCGGCGGCGGCGTCGGGCCCGTGAGGCACGGCGCGCGCGCGAAGGGCAAGGGCAAGGCGAAAGCGCGCGTCGGGAAGCTGGGTCCGCCTGTCGACAAGGCGTGGGCGGAGAAGTGGCGGGCCGAGCTCAAGATCGCGGGGGTGCGTTGCGTTTCTCTTGCCGAAGCGGCTTGAAGACTGACGGGTGGTGCAGAGACAATTCTCGCGGCTCGTCGAGATGCTCCAGCTGCTGCATGTCGACGAGGCGGACCCGCGTGCGTGGCGCGCGTACCGGCTGCAGGTCAAGGAGCGGCTGTACCGCTTCAACTTCGTGCGTCGTGCTCTCTCCGCCGTGCGGGCCCTGTTGCTGATGGCGTGCTGCAGGAGGTGCTCATGCAGCTCGAGAAGGTCGAGCGCCAGGAGAAGCTCGAGGAGACGTTCCGCAGCGTGTGCGAGGACTACCGGCGGATCCTCGCGATGGCGAAGGTGTAGCGCGGTGTGTGACGCCTTGTATGCTTGATTTTGTTGTACGCTCGAGGACAGGCGCGCCTACGGAGGCGGCTGGAAGCTATGACTATTATTACAGGCGATTTTCCACTCCTATGTGATACATTACACTCTAGCGGGAACTAGGCGGCAGGCTGTCTCCTTCGGAACATGACCTTCGCCGACCTATTCGGCGCGATAGTCAACCCCAGAATCTCGTTCGGCGGGCGCGCCGTCGCGCCGCCAGGGAGCTTCACGTCGTACGTCGTGACGACGTGCGCGACGGCCGCCTTCATCTCGTTCCCCGCGAAGAACCTCCCAGGGCTGCACCACCACATCAGCATCCGTACCGGCCGCGGACACCGGCCGCGAGACACGCACCACGCGTGCTTCCCGTGGCCGAACGGCACGTAGCGCGTGCTCGTGCGCACGAGCTGCTCGGGCTTCGCGCCGCCGGGCGCGTCCAGCGCGCGGAACGGCGCGAAGATGTGCGGCTCATCGTGCAGCGCGCCGTCGCCGTGCAGCGCGCGCTGCGGCGCGACGCAGAGTGTGCCCGCGGGCAGCGCGAGCGGCGTGCCCGCCGACGTGAGCGTCACGGGGCGTAGTGTCGCGCGCATCATCGAGACTGACCTGTGATCAGTGCGCAGGTGCGGGGAGAAGAGAGCGGCGCACAGGCGTTTATCCCGTTGAAGCGCTGCGACTCGCGCAGGACGGCGTCGACGCGGGGCATGCGCGCGAGCGCGTGCTTCGTCCAGCCGTCGCGGGCGAGCGCGCCGTCGGCCTCTGCGCGCAGCGCCGCGTGCAGGCGCGGGTCCGCGGCGAGGTGGTAGAGGACGTGCACGAAGCTCTGTGGGGCGTCAGGGCGCGTGTGGGGTGGGAGAGGGAGGCGACGTGCCATGGCGCTCGTGCTCGCGCCGACGAAGATCATCGCGATGGTGCGGATGGCGACTTCGTCGAGCGTGTGCCCGCCCGCGAGGGCTGCTTCGAGGACGATCTGTAGCAGGTCGTTCTACGACGGGATACTCCAAGTATCAGCAGAGCGACTTGGAACGGTCGGTGTGTGGGAGGCACACACCGGCCGCTCCGTCCATTTGTCTCCGTACTCGTCAAGGTTCCGCACGCGCTCTGCGATGACGGGCGCAAGCATCTTCTCAGCCTCCCCTGCCGCCTTGCGCGCGCGATGCGCAGCGAAGAGCGCTACTGCTCTGGAGAATGGTCAGTCTTCGGCGGAACCTCTCTGACGTTGAGTGTAGACCCACGGCTTGAGACCGGGCGGCACCAACCCTGTCCAGAACCGCGCGGCGCTGACAGATGTTGTAAAGTCGAGCATGAGCTGTACAAAGCGGGGATCACGCCCTGTCCAGAAGGCGTGTAGCCGTCAGATCAAGGCTGAAGCGGGCGTGTGCGTACCAATGGGCAGTCCCACAAAGAGCCTGTTTACAACTCTAGTGAAGACCCAGAAGAATGTTTGCAGCGGAGCGACCGAGATCCATCCTGGAAATTGTCTCGGTATTCTGGCTGCAAGTGGCTCAGGCACGCGAAAGGCGCACCGTCGACCTCGTTGGTTGTTTCGAGAGACTCTTCAATAGAGACCCGGAGCTCGTCGACCATGTCCCCAAAGAAGGAGCTGATTGAATGTGTCAGATGTTGCTTCAACGGGGGAATGTGCCATGGGTCGTCTGCAAGGCTGCGAGGGGTTATATAACGCATTCCAACAATCTGCATATGGAGGCGAGAGGGGCGGGAGATGAGTATATGCAGAATTAAATTAAGACGTGTAACAGACACACTTCTGCACCAGCAGCCATGAACGAGACATTCTCATCCGAGTGCTTCTGCAGCTCGTCGATGAGGTTCAGATGAGCCACGACAACAATCCAATGATCCGGAGCTGCGATCTTGAAGAGCCCCGGGTGGTTCTTGTACTGTTCATCGGATCAGAAAGACTCCCATTCAGACGAGCAGAGAGATGGCAGAGATACCTGATCGTAGCCTTCCTGCAATAAACCCTGGCGGTTCTGCAGGTAGCGAAACGTTCCAATGTAGCTGAACAAGGGGAGAGCAGGTCCGCCGACAGTGGGAATGTGGCGAAGCTAGAGGTTGTAGATATGTAAGTGTGCTGTCCAGTCCTGAATATAATAGACAAGGCCATACCTTCCAGATACTCCACGCGCTGTTCAGGAAGAGTACGATGGCCGCACCCATGATGAGCTCCGCCCACGCGGGGAGGCTGAAAGGCCTGTCAAACATTTTCGCGAAGTGATCTCAAAGCGATAGCTGCTCTCAGCGATGCTAATGGTGTGCGATGAGCATTGTATACCCGATGGAATCCAAAATATAACACACAGGAGACAGTCTTGGAGCGAGGCCTTCGTAAGCAGTCTGTACCATGCCTAAGTAAAGCTCGGCTCACACCACCGCGGTAGGATTGCAGGTGGATCTCGGGAGCAAGAGCTGGAATAGACAAGTGTCAAGGCGAACGTTGATAGAGGATGAAACGCACCGCACCGGGCGAGTGGAATGAGACGGCGCCCTTGCCACCAGGAGTGACTTCCCGCAGAATCTACAGCAAGCCCGGACCGTAGTGTTGTACTTAATAATTTTTCGATGATGCTCGGATGGCAGCTGTTCGGAGTGCCATGTGATGAAACAGTAGTCCCAAAGTACCATTGCCTGACATCTCATACTAGTACTTCAGAGTCAAGCGGAGCCTGCCAGTCGAGCTCGAAGCCATATAGTCTGGACACTACTTAGTAGAGCCAACTGTCCGTTCACTTTTGCTGCACCTTGTGTCTCAGCTAACTTGAGGGTGCGTATGGGCTCATGAAGATCATAGCATCTACCGTAAGATGCTGAGACCGTGAGACCTGCTCTGTTCTGAGCATGCAGCTGGGGCGCTTAATCAGGTACCTCCGCGAATAGCTCGAAATTCTGGTCTGTAGATTGTAAAAATACGCTCCATGCGATGATTTTGACACTGGCCAGTGGCAATTCTCGCGGCAGCAAGCTATACAGCAAAAATAGGAAAAAAGAAAGACCCAACCGTGGTTCGAACACGGGACAACACGATATTACGTAAGCAAGCTGACTGCAATCGTATGCTCTACCACTGAGCTATTGAGTCATATCTGCATCGGAGTACGATAGAACATATTGTGAATGACTAGCGGCCGTCACCGCGCCACGAAGCTGCGGAACTTTTCGTGTCGTCGAGACTTCAACGTGTCCTTGTGCTGAGCCGACCTCAAGGCAGTATTGACTCTGACCTCTCGCTCTATTTGGATTCATGAAGATCTCGAACATAGAGCGTCCAACCTTTCTCAGGAGAACTGGAACTCTTGTCCGTATGAAGGTTTCGGAATTGCAGCGCAACCGCGACATACCTGAACTCCCAAGACTTACACGGCTACATTCCGTTCTGCCTTTGTCGACGAATCTGGGCGGACGAGCTGCCTCTCGGGCCAACGCAGCTGCGAGCTAGAGATCATCTCGCTGGGATTCCAGGTGCTGGGAGCTGGTGCTCGTCGCCTACAGCAAGGATTTGATGCAAGCCAACGGTATGTCTGCATCAGTTTGCCCGGGTCTCTCACCTAAGTTTAGCTGCACCACTTCTATCACTCTTGGCTCGCTTCTCTTGTCATTTTTGTCGCGCTTCCTGCCCAATGCACGCTCATCTTCCCATCGGCAGCCCAGATTCCCAGGCACAGCGGGCGGCGGGCAGCCGGTGTGCACATCGCCGATCTTCTCTCAGTCGAGTCCGAGGCAGCAAAATCACGGCGAGGCTATTTTTGCGTGATGTCACATTAGGCGTTGCCGCGCCTGGCCGCTGCGCTAGCCCTATTATTACGTCCCGCCCTGCGAACGCTGCTGCGACGAGTAAGTCGCCTCCCGCCATCATCTCGCTAACGGGACCGACTCTGTGGTACGCTGTCCTTGGACTCTCATACCTCGATGTCGGGCCTGACAGACGTGTTAACCGGCAGGTGTCGCTCACATTCCATGGTTTGTGTTCGAAGCGGCCGCGCTCGGCGCAATAGATCCATGGACGGTCCTCCCTTCAATACAACCCAAGCCATGGAACTGCATTTCGTCGTCAAAGTTCGATGAGTGGTTGTAGGCTCATGTTTAACCAACTTCGACCGACCAGCAGCTCATCGTTGCGCTTTGCCAGTAATTACTGCCTGCTTTACCGCAGCTTTGAAGAAGATTTTGCCCGCGCTGCGGCATCGACTCCCTCTCACGTGTCGTCATTATTCGTTAACATTCCTTGCCCGAAATCTTCAACACGGTGGTGCCGGCTGTAGTTGCGCTCCCAGGGTCGCGCACGGCCGCGTCGACGCTGTGCCGGACACAATGTGCGGGCAAGACGCTAACGTGTTACTGGTACTCACATTTCTGAGAGGATTGCAAACCAGCCGGACCCGATTGGTTTCTCTTTGCCCGAACGCTGCCAGGAACCCTCCACTCGTTCAATAGCCGGACCCATGGATCGCTCGCAGGCACGGCTTGATGCGCGCGCGTGCCGTTGCCTAGGCGGGCAGCGTCGTTCACGCTCTTGTGAACCGCGTCGCGCCGCCTCGGCATCAGCAAAGCTTGCGCGTCGCACTTCGCGAAATTTGCGAAAAGAGTGCGCGCAAGAAAGCGTATAAATGCTGGGCTGGCAAGGAGAGGGCCCTGCAGGACATCGGGTTCTCCTCTCGCACTCTCCTCTGGACATCGGGCACCTCTCCCAGTCAGACACCCCTCGCTCTCCAACAGTCGCAATGGCCTTCCAGTTCTCCGCGCTCTTCGCCCTTGTCGCGCTCGCCGCGAGCACCGTCCGCGCCGCACCGGCGGCCGCCCAGGTCAACTGCCCCGACGGCACCGCGGTGCCCAGCACTGTCTGCTGCGACTTCATTCCTGTATGCGCATTTTCCCCCTGATCTACGAAATGGGTTGCTTAATATCGGTTTAGCTCGCTCAGGCTCTTCAGAGCGAGGTTCTCATGGGCGACTGTGGTGAAGATGGTAGGCCTACAACCATACCCTAAGCTCGAGCCGCAGCTAATATTTCACTGCCAGCTCACGAAATCATCCGTCTTACTTTCCGTAAGTGACGGCAACAGTTCATACTTGCCTTTGCTCACTCTCGCCCAGACGACGCTATCGCCATTTCCCAGAGCCAGGGTGCCGCTGCGTGAGCACAGTTGCCCTCCAGTCCATTTTGATATTTACTGACAGATGTGAACAGCGGCGGAGGAGCCGACGGCTCGATGCTCGTCTTCCCCACGGTCGAGCCCGAGTTCTCCGCCAACAACGGAATCAGCGACAGTGTCAACAACCTGATCCCCTTCATGAGCCAGTTCCCGACCATCTCTCCTGGTGACCTCGTCCAGTTCGCAGGTGCCGTCGCCCTGACCAACTGCCCCGTGCGTAGCATTAGCTCCCGCATTTTACTCGTATAGATTCTGACATGGAAGTCTTAACAGGGTGCCCCTCGCCTCCAGTTCCTCGCGGGCCGCCCCAACGCCACCGCACCCGCCGTCGACGGCCTCATCCCCGAGCCGCAGGACAGCGTCGACAAGATCCTCGCGCGCTTCGCTGACGCGGGCAACTTCTCGCCCTTCGAGGTCGTCTCCCTCCTCGCCTCGCACTCCATCGCGCGTGCCGACAAGGTCGACGAGACCATCGACGCCGCGCCCTTCGACTCCGTGAGCCCGTTCCACACGCGCTCCGCGTTCGCTCGCTGACAGCTCGCGCAGACCCCCTTCGTCTTCGACACGCAGGTCTTCCTCGAGGTGCTGCTCAAGGGCGTCGGCTTCCCGGGCACGGACAACAACACGGGCGAGGTCGCATCTCCTCTCCCTCTCACGTCCGGCACGGACACAGGCGAGCTGCGCCTGCAGAGCGATTTCGCGCTCGCTCGCGACTCGCGCACGGCGTGCTTCTGGCAGGGCTTCGTGAACGAGCAGCAGCTCATGTCCTCGAGCTTCGCCGCGGCCATGGCGAAGCTCGCCGTGCTCGGCCACAACACCGCGAACCTCGTCGACTGCAGCAACGTCGTCCCGCAGCCCAAGCCCGCTGTGAACAAGCCCGCGAGCTTCCCCGCGACCACCGGCCCCCAGGACCTCGAGCTCAACTGCCCGACCCAGGAGTTCCCGACGCTCACCACCGATCGTGCGTGTCCCGTGCCCCTCTTCGCATCTGACCCTGCTGATAGAGTGCCGTGCAGCTGGTGCCCAGCAGACCCTCATCCCGCACTGCTCGGACGGCGACATGACCTGCGAGACCGTCCAGTTCGACGGCCCCGCTGGGGACAGCTCCTAAGCCGTCTCAGCAGGCCTATTTATCCTGGTCTAAGTTATGGTAGAATCTGGTGCATCGTCACGGAACTGGTGTCTGCAATGTATCTCTCTCGATGGTGCATTCTGTACGGGCCCTCCAAGGCTCGCACAAGTGCAGCCTCGATTGTATCGCTGAATATATGGGCTGTCTCTGTCTCCTGCATGCTCGGAATAATGGTGCATTAAATTGGCTTCAAATAGACCTACGCAGCCGCGGAGACTGTGAGGAGGGGAAAATAGCTTGGTATGCGCTGGAGGTATTGCTGAAGAGTTACAAACTTGTCAACGGCAGGAAGCCGCGCTTACGCAGGCTCTGCGCGAATGAGTACGACTACCTCAAGTGCCCCCCCCCCCCGGGGCTCTCCCACTGCCCGCGCGGCGCCTGACGCGTGTGCGCAGCTAGCTTCAAGCACTTCGCACCTCATGTGGGAGGTCCGGGCACTGCAGATATCAACGGAAACGTGGCTGCGCGTCGACGCGCAGGCTTACGCTGCTCATCACTCACTTTCTTATGCCCCAGCCGAAGACGCGCGGCGGTAGCCCCGGGGACGCGTTCATCGTGTTCAGGGTGCATCGCGAGGTTCTCTGGGTGTAGGACAGGTGCTGATTCGCATGATACGTGTAGTACCTTCCGTTTGAAGGGGGATCGCCGTGAGTGCAACAATCGCCGCCAAGGAACTGTGATCTCGCTGTAAAATAGTATCGCTTCATCTGTACCGAGGTCCCGCGGACATTCTGGGCTGGCGAGACTTGTTTCAATGTTTACTTGTTCTCTGTACAAGAGCCAACTCTCCTTTTGTGAATCTGCCATGCACGGTCAGCCTGAGGGCACGTGTTGAGTATTTTGTAAATTCTGCCATGCGTTGACGGCGCTTCCCAGAGCTGGTTAGCATCGCCTTCGCACCAACTTGCGCCTCAGGTGTGTTGCTCCACACTGCTGACCACACATTGCTGCACAAAACAGACATAGCCGACGTTCTGTGCTCAACATGGGCCGATGGAATTTGGGCAAGCTTCCGAAGTTCATGCGGAAAAGAAGTCCACCGATTACATCCTTGGACAGCCTTGAGGATATCCTGGATCGGATCCAGCAGATTCGTTTAGGGATCGAGGTACGGAAACCACTACCCAGCGATTTGTGATACGGAAGTCCTGATTGACGTGTGCTTGCCTGCGTCCAACATACAGTCAGACAGTGCGTACGAGATCTACACTAGTCTCCTACGTACCATCGTTCGGCTCGAAACCGCGGTGTCTCGCACGCACCATGCAACGCAAATCGCGATGATGGATCACAATGTGGGCCTCGCCGAGTGTGTAGCAGTGCTCAATGCTCCTTCTGAAGCTGGGCTCGAGTTTGCGAGCAGAGTAAGAGATCTGTTGAGGTGAGCAAACCCGCGACGCTCTTCAATCACACCATCTCCTAAAACATCGGCGCAGCAAAATAATCTCTTTGGAAGTCCTGGCGAATAAAGTGTCAAAAATTCAGATATACGACCCGCACGCACCAGATTCCCATACAAGCGGCCTGATCTCTGCGAGCAATTCAATCGATGGCATCGTGGCGGAAATGGAGCTGCTGATCACAAGCTCGACGGATTCGTTTGTGGTAAGAGCGTGCCTACTCATTCCGGTCACATCTGATTTATCTGCCGATTGTTCTAGGATCATAACTCGGAGGACATCGAAGACATCGTGAAAAAGGCCTTCGACGTGCATTTCAGTACTAGAGTACGTCAAACATCAATGGTTCGAATGCATGCTGAGTAACAAACCTTGAACGTAGAATATGCATTCTCAGT